CAAATTCTACTGGTCACATAGTTCTACTGGTCACTCACAGTTATACTAGTCACTCACTGTTCTACTGTTCACGCATGGTTCTACTGGTAACTCCAAATTCTACTGGTCACTTACAGTTCTACTGGTCACTCACGGTTGTACTGGTCACTCACAGTTCTAATTGTCCCGCATCACAAAGTGGAAACGGTATGATGACCCACATTACCAAGTGGACACTGTATGATTACCCACATCACCACGTGGACATGGTATGATGACCCACATCACAAAGTGGAAACGGTATGATGACCCACATCACAAAGTGGACACTGTATGATGACCCACATCACAAAGTGGACACTGTATGATGACCCACATCACCAAGTGGACATGGTATGATGACCCACATCACAAAGTGGAAACAATATGATGACCCACATCACAAAGTGGACACTGTATGATGACCCACATCACAAAGTGGACACTGTATGATGACCCACATCACCAAGTGGAAACGGTATGATGACCCACATCACAAAGTGGAAACGGTATGATGACCCACATCACAAAGTGGACACTGTATGATGACCCACATTACCAAGTGGACACTGTATGATGATCCACATCACCAAGTGGAAACGGTATGATGACCCACATCACAAAGTGGAAACGGTATGATGACCCACATTACCAAGTGGACACTGTATGATGACCCACATCACCAAGTGGACATGGTATGATGACCCACATCACAAAGTGGAAACGGTATGATGACCCACATTACCAAGTGGACACTGTATGATGACCAACCTTTTCAGATAGCTAGTTAAGAAGCTTTCATCTACAGTCATCTACACCTTCAAACATAATTTTCATTCTAAAAAAACAAACACTGGAACCACTGGGAAATTTGGCAACTTTAATCTTGTGTCAAACCATGACTTCCCAGCAGCCAAAACATCAACCATACATGACTTTCAAGTTGCTCAAACATCAAGAAAACATCACATTTCACTTGCCCAGACATCAACAAAACATCACATTTCACTTGCCCAGACATCAACAAAACATGACATCCCATTTGACCAAACATGACCCGGCAGTCGCCCCAAACATCAACAACCATGCAATTCAGTTGGGTGATTTTACTGACAACGCTTGTGTCCCGCTGGTGGTTTTTAAACTGATTCAAAACTGGATTTCCCATTGCTAGGACAGGGACTAGGGACTTTTTGCTAACAGGTGCAAAGGTCAAAGGGCAGACGGATTTAACAACAAAAGGAGTCGAGCTTTCTTGCACGGCCACCAACAAGTCATGTGTGTGCTATCAATGTTCTCAATCTTCATGTTGACCTTTACAAAAAAAAAAAAAAAAAGCTTTCGGCTCAGCTGACTTCAACCATAAAAGCATTCCAGACTTAACTCTGACTGTACATACAGGCCAGCAGAAACAAACACCATGCCCCAACCTCCTGCCTTAACTCTGACTGTACATACAGGCCAGCAGAAACAAACACCATGCCCCAACCTCCTGCCTTAACTCTGACTGTACATACAGGCCAGCAGAAACAAACACCATGCCCCAACCTCCTGCCTTGTTACCGCGCGGTCAGAGTAGACACCCCCCCCCCCTTTTCCAACCTAGACATGATTCTGAGCTCCATTACGTTCAATCTTCTACGTCGACGTTCCTTGTATAACGTAGCTGCAATGCAATCACGTGCAGTCTGAATGTTAATGGTCCAGCAGAAACAAACACCCTGCCCCACCCCCCTGCCTTGTTACCGCGCGGTCAGAGTAGACACCCCCCCCCCTTTTCCAACCTAGACATGATTCTGAGCTCCATTACGTTCAATCTTCTACGTCGACGTTCCTTGTATAACGTAGCTGCAATGCAATCACGTGCAGTCTGAATGTTAATGGAAAATAATTCACATTTCGTTACGCAAATATAGAACAAATAAAAAGAGATGTTGAGACATTAGTCTACCACAGCAGTGTTTATAAAATGCACACGTTGGCCGGACATGTGGACCGGTGGATCATTTACATGTGGACCGGTGGATCAACTTCACATTGCACCAGGCACCGGCGACATAGTTAATATTTTTTTATCCCTTTCTTAAAATAGGTTTATTTCGCGATCAGCCAAAGCGACAGGACTCGTCTGCTAGCGATGACCTTTTGCTGCTACCCGATTTGGATTGTTACAAACGCTATTTGTAGGATTATAATTGTTTTGTTATGTCTGTTGAACTTCAATTAACGTAATCCAGTGTCTTGCCTCGTGTTGTGCGGGCCGTCAAGGTAAGTCTCGCGGGCCATAAAGGAAAGTCTCGCGGGCCGTCAAGGTAAGTCTCGCGGGCCATAAAGGAAAGTCTCGCGGGCCGTCAAGGTAAGTCTCGCGGGCTGTCAAGGCAAGTCTTGCGGGCTGTCAAGGTAAGTCTCGCGGCCGTCAAGGTAAGTCTCGCGGGCTGACAAGGTAAGTCTCGTGGGCCGTCAAGGTAAGTCTCGCGGGCCGACAAGGTAAGTCTCGTGGGGCCGTCAGAGTAAGTCTCACGGGCCGTCTAAGTAAGTCTCGCGGGCCGACAAGGCAAGTCTCACGTGCCGTCAAAGTAAGTCTCTCGGGCCGTCAAGGTAAGTCTTGCGGGTCGGTGCCAGCCCACAGACCACCACTTACTAAGGCCAAGAGACGTTAATACATGGTGGCGAATTAAAGACATGTGCAGAGATATTTAAACATCATCTGCCGTAGAACTCTCCTATTTTAAACATCATCTATCACACAACTCTGTTATCTGATACATTCTCTACCACACAACTCTACTATCTGATACATCCTCTAACACACAACTCTACCGCATGTTACATCTTCTAATCGATGCTGTCAAGATGTCAATAAATAAATCGGCTAATAAATATCTCAAACCGCACGATGTCAGCGAGTTGTTCCATATTGGTGTCTGCTAATTAGCTGTCTGTGATCATCAGTTGACCATGATGTGTTGGTAGTTGGCTGTTGTCTGATATAATCAGTTGACATGATGTGTTGGTAGTTGTCTGTTGTCTGATATAATCAGTTGACATGATGTGTTGGTAGTTGGCTGTTGTCTGATATAATCAGTTGACATGATGTGTTGGTAGTTGGCTGTTATGATTTTGTTCCAATGAAAAGGAGTGATCAAAATTAATGGTCCCAGTGAAGCGAGAATTACAAACTGTGGGGTTGTGAATGTTTAAGGGTGTGTGAGTGTTTAAGTGTGTGAGTGTTTAGATGTGTGAGTGTTTAGGTGTGTGAGTGTTTAGGTGTGTGAGTGTTTAGGGATGTGAGTGTTTAAGGGTGTGCGTGTTTAGGTGTGTGAGTGTTTAGAGGTGTGGGTGTTTAGGTGTGTGAGTGTTTAGGGGTGTGGGTGTTTAGATGTGTGAGTGTTTAGGTGTGTGAGTGTTTAGGTGTGTGAGTGTTTAGGGGTGTGAGTGTTTAGGGATGTGAGTGTTTGGGGGTTGTGAGTGTTTAGGGATGTGAGTGTTTAGGGGTGTGAGTGTTTAGGGGTGTGAGTATTTAGTGGCGTGGGTGTTTAGGGGTGTGAGTGTTTAGGGGTGTGAATGTTTAGATGTGTGAGTGTTTAGGTGTGTGAGTGTTTAGGTGTGTGAGTGTTTAGGAGTGCGGGTGTTTAGGTGTGTGAGTGTTTAGGTGTGTGAGTGTTTAGGGTGTGGGTGTTAAGGGATCTGAGTGTTTAGGGTTGTGAGTGTTTAGGGGTGTGAGTGTTTAGGGGTGTGGGTGTTTAGGGATGTGAGTGTTTAGGTGTGTGAGTGTTTAGGTGTGTGAGTGTTTAGGGGTGTGGGTGTTAAGGGATGTGAGTGTTTAGGGTTGTGAGTGTTTAGGGGTGTGGGTGTTTAGGGGTGTGGGTGTTTAGTGGTGTGGGTGTTTAGGGGCGTGAGTGTTTAGGTGTGTGAGTGTTTAGGTGTGTGTGTGTTTAGGTGTGTGAGTGTTTAGAGGTGTGAGTGTTTAAGGGTGTGAGTGTTTAGGGGTGTGGGTGTTTAGTGGTGTGAGTGTTTAGGTGTGTGAGTGTTTAGGTATGTGAGTGTTTAGGTGTGTGAGAGTTTAGGTGTGTAAGTGTTCAGGTATGTGAGTGTTAAGGTGTGTGAGTGTTTAGGGTTGTGAGGTGTGAGTCTTTGGAAAAATGTAATAATTTTTTAACACTTGTAACTTCAGAGACGGTGGTGACCTCGTCATAACTTCCGGATACACCAGAAATAAAATCTATTTTTAGAACCGGGGTCCATTGTCCCCCCCCCCCCACAATCTTCACACCTCTCCTTTGTTTACCCGTTCCATGCTTTGATCTAAAATCACGTGGTCTTCTTAAGTCTCATCCATTCACACGTGACGTATGACCTGTTGTGTGTTACTCTACGTACAAGCACCGTATGCGTATGTCACACCTTCTTAAAGCACTCTTGTTAACTTAAGCCTTGTTAAACAGATAGAGCAGTTGGGCGTGCTTGGGAGGGGGGGGGCGTGCTGGGATGGGGGCTTGCTTGTGGGGTGGGGGCGGGACGCTTACGACTTCCAAGTGGCTTGTTCAATCACTGTACTCGGGGAAAGTATGCAGAATTTCGAACGTCCGTGTCTGTCAGCTTTTTATGGGCCTTTTAGGTTCTTAAGACGCCACTCATGTAATGGTGATTACATTCCCCCCCCCTCCCCCGATTATTTTCAGCTTTTGGGGTCTTAATATGTTACAAGCAACAAGTAATGTTACAAATTAAAATTTGGTCATTTACAAGTAAAATATAATATTTATACAAGGCTATCACCCCCAACTCTAACACAGTGCTCCCGTCAAATGATTGAAACAATCAAATGAATGTAACAAACAAATGATTGTACCAATCAAATGAATGTAACAATCAAATGATTGTAACAATCGAATGAATGTAACAATCAAATGAATGTAACAGTCAAAATGATTCCTACGACTCCAGAGTATGGACTGAAGTTGCCAAAGTTTTAAAGAGAGCTACTTACGAATTTTGACCTCTGTAGAATCCAACTGTTTGACTATCCTATCCACATTTTCTAGCCTGTATCCAATGGATTCCGTTTTTTCGAAAACTTTTTGACACTCTTCAGCCAAATCACAGAAAATATCATCGGCGTGTCGGACAAGGCTGGCCAGTTGCACAAGGGCCCCCAAAACAGCATTTTGGCACACGGCTATTTGTACAATTTCCTCACTTTTCTCCTCCTCTGAAAGGGGCCTTCTCCCCAGCCATACGGGCCTGATGGTTCGATCTGACAGAGGCATTGCCTTAGCAGAGGGATCCGATGTTTACATTGTAATGGAACACACACATTTGACACGGAGAATCGTTCTACATCCTTTTACCTATGGCACTAGCACACACCTCACCAAGCAAGAGGTCACTCGACTATGAGATTGTTATTATCAACCAGGGACCGCTACTCTGCCCCCCACACCGCGGCCAGTTAGCGGTGACTTGTCTCCCCGCGCGACAGTCGCTGGTGTTCCCTCTGACAGCAGTGGATCTAAAATACCAACTCATTGCCACATGACTTCGTGGAGACTCCAATCTAAAAGTGTATGTGCATGTTGGACTATGAGAGTTCATAAAGAATCATAAAATCAAGACCGTTTCTAGGTGTTAAGACATATGGTGTCACTCTAGGCGAGAAATAAAAACTGCAAATCACTCTCTCATATTTGCTCCTAATTTGTTCAATTCTTTCACTTTTTTGTCGCCCCTAAAATAATTTTGCCCTTGGGGAGGGGGGGGGTCTACTCTCGCTTAACAGAAGAGAAGGCATCGCACACCCAGAAAGGGCGCTTAATACTAAAGAAAATTGGTTAGAGGGGCAACTTTTATTTTCAAAAATATATCTTATTCAGTGGCGTGGGGTGGGGGTGGGCTTTAAACATGACGCCACTTTGTCAGTTACGAATCCGAGTGTTATCGAAGTGCTTTTTTTAATTAAAAAAACGGGTATGGAGTATGCAGAGTTCAATACATAATTTTTAAATTATTTTTTTAAAGAAGTTATAACTATTTCTATTATTTTTTTTTTTAAATTCCTAATTTACAGGACATCCCCCCCCCCGTCCCCTGAGCCAATTGGCCGACAAGTTTGTCCAAAACTGTAGATGTGTTGATGGCCGACAAGTTTGTCCAGACCTGTAGATTGTGTTGATGGCCAACAAGTTTGTCCAGAACTGTAGATTGTGTTGATGGCCAACAAGTTTGTCCAGAACTGTAGATTGTGTTGATGGCCAACAAGTTTGTCCAGAACTGTAGATTGTGTTGATGGCCAACAAGTTTGTCCAGAACTGTAGATTGTGTTGATGGCCAACAAGTTTGTCCAGAACTGTAGATTGTGTTGATGGCCAACAAGTTTGTCCAGAACTGTAGATTGTGTTGATGGCCAACAAGTTTGTCCAGAACTGTAGATTGTGTTGATGGCCAACAAGTTTGTCCAGAACTGTAGATTGTGTTGATGGCCAACAAGTTTGTCCAGAACTGTAGATTGTGTTGATGGCCAACAAGTTTGTCCAGAACTGTAGATTGTGTTGATGGCCAACAAGTTTGTCCAGAACTGTAGATTGTGTTGATGGCCAACAAGTTTGTCCAGAACTGTAGATTGTGTTGATGGCCAACAAGTTTGTCCAGAACTGTAGATTGTGTTGATGGCCAACAAGTTTGTCCAGAACTGTAGATTGTGTTGATGGCCAACAAGTTTGTCCAGAACTGTAGATTGTGTTGATGGCCAACAAGTTTGTCCAGAACTGTAGATTGTGTTGATGGCCAACAAGTTTGTCCAGAACTGTAGATTGTGTTGATGGCCAACAAGTTTGTCCAGAACTGTAGATTGTGTTGATGGCCAACAAGTTTGTCCAGAACTGTAGATTGTGTTGATGGCCAACAAGTTTGTCCAGAACTGTAGATTGTGTTGATGGCCAACAAGTTTGTCCAGAACTGTAGATTGTGTTGATGGCCAACAAGTTTGTCCAGAACTGTAGATTGTGTTGATGGCCAACAAGTTTGTCCAGAACTGTAGATTGTGTTGATGGCCAACAAGTTTGTCCAGAACTGTAGATTGTGTTGATGGCCAACAAGTTTGTCCAGAACTGTAGATTGTGTTGATGGCCAACAAGTTTGTCCAGAACTGTAGATTGTGTTGATGGCCAACAAGTTTGTCCAGAACTGTAGATTGTGTTGATGGCCAACAAGTTTGTCCAGAACTGTAGATTGTGTTGATGGCCAACAAGTTTGTCCAGAACTGTAGATTGTGTTGATGGCCAACAAGTTTGTCCAGAACTGTAGATTGTGTTGATGGCCAACAAGTTTGTCCAGAACTGTAGATTGTGTTGATGGCCAACAAGTTTGTCCAGAACTGTAGATTGTGTTGATGTGAGGGAAGGGAGTGGATCTTTACGTATCCAGAAAACAAAATGTTATATTTTATTTCATTTATTATTTTATATCAAGAACTAAACAATAGGACACATATATTAAGAACTAAACAATAAGACACATATATTAAGAACTAAACATACGACACATATATTATGAACTAAACAATACGACACATATATTAAGAACTAAACAATACGACACATATATTAAGAACTAAACAATACGACACTTATATTAAGAACTAAACAATACGACACATATATCAAGAACTAAACAATACGGCACATATATCAAGAACTAAACCATACGACACATATATTAAGAACTAAACAATACGACACATATATTAAGAACTCAACAATACGACACATATATTAAGAACTAAACAATACGACACATATATTAAGAACTAAACAATACGACACATATAATAAGAACTAAACAATACGACACATATATTAAGAACTAAACAATATGACACATATATTAAGAACTAAACAATACGACACATATATTAAGAACTAAACAATACGACACATATATTAAGAACTAAACAATACGACACATATATCAAGAACTAAACAATACGGCACATATATCAAGAACTAAACAATACGACACATATATCAAGAACTAAACAATACGGCACATATATTAAGAATTAAACAATACGACACATATATTAAGAACTAAACAATACGACACATATATTAAGAACTAAACAATACGACACATATATCAAGAACTAAACAATACGGCACATATATCAAGAACTAAACAATACGGCACATATATCAAGAACTAAACAATACGACACATATATCAAGAACTAAACAATACGGCACATATATCAAGAACTAAACACTAGAACAAGTATATAAAAAAACAACAACAATAGGACAAGTATATCAAGAACTAAACAATAGGACAAGTATATCAAGAACTAAACAATACGACACAAATATCAAGAACTAAACAATACGGCACATATATCAACAACTAAACAATACGACACATATATCAAGAACTAAACAATACGGCACATATATCAAGAACTAAACAATACGGCACATATATCAAGAACTAAACAATGCGACACATATATCAAGAACTAAACAATACGGCACATATATCAAGAACTAAACACTAGGACAAGTATATAAAAAAACAACAACAATAGGACAAGTAAATCAAGAACTAAACAATAGGACAAGTATATCAAGAACTAAACAATACGACACAAATATCAAGAACTAAACAATACGGCACATATATCAAGAACTAAACAATACGGCACATATATCAAGATCTAAACACTAGGACAAGTATATAAAAAAACAACAACAATAGGACAAGTATATCAAGAACTAAACAATAGGACAAGTATATCAAGAACTAAACAATAGGACACGTATATCAAGAACTAAACACTAGGACAAGTATATCAAGAACTTAACAATAGGACAAGTATATCATGAACTAAACACTAGGACACGTATATCAAGAACTTAACAATTGGACAAATATATCAAAAACTAAACAATAGGACACGTATATCAAGAACTAAACAATAGGACAAGTATATCAAGAACTAAACAATAGGACAAGTATATCAAGAACTAAACAATAGGACAAGTATATCAAGAACAAAACGATAGGACAAGTATATAAAAAAACAACAACAATAGGACAAGCATATCAAGAACTAAACACTAGGACAAGTATATCAAGAACTAAACAATAGGACACGTGTGTCAAGAACTAAACAAGAGAACAAGTATATCAAGAACTAAACACTAGGACAAGTATATCAAGAACTAAGCAATAGGACAAGTATATCAAGAACTAAAAAATAGGACAAGTATATCAAGAACTAAACAATAGGGCAAGTATATCAAGAACTAAACAATAGGACAAGTATATCAAGAACTAAACAATAGGACAAGTATATCAAGAACAAAACGATAGGGCAAGTATATCAAGAACTAAACAATAGGACAAGTATATCAAGAACTAAACAATAGGATAAGTATATCAAGAACTTAACAATTGGACAAATATATCAAAAACTAAACAATAGGACATGTATATCAAGAACTAAACAATAGGACAAGTATATCAAGAACAAAACGATAGGACAAGTATATCAAGAACTAAACAATAGGACAAGTATATCAAGAACTAAACAATAGGATAAGTATATCAAGAACTTAACAATTGGACAAATATATCAAAAACTAAACAATAGGACATGTATATCAAGAACTAAACAATAGGACAAGTATATCAAGAACTAAACAATAGGACAAGTATATCAAGAACTAAACAATAGGACAAGTATATCAAGAACAAAACGATAGGACAAGTATATCAAGAACTAAAAAATAGGACAAGTATATCAAGAATTAAACAATAGGACACGAATATCTAGAACTAAACAATAGGGAAAGTATATCAAGAACTAAACAATGGGACACGTATATCAAGAACTAAACAATTGGACAAGTATATCAAGACCTAAACGATAGGACAAGTATATCAAGAACTAAACAATAGGATAAGTATATCAGGAACTAAACAATAGGACAAGTATATCAAGAACAAAACGATAGGACAAGTATATCAAGAACTAAACAATAGGACAAGTATATCAAGAACAAAACGATAGGATAAGTATATCAAGAACTTAACAATTGGACAAATATATCAAAAACTAAACAATAGGACATGTATATCAAGAACTAAACAATAGGACAAGTATATCAAGAACTAAACAATAGGACAAGTATATCAAGAACTAAACAATAGGACAAGTATATCAAGAACAAAACGATAGGACAAGTATATCAAGAACTAAACAATAGGACAAGTATATCAAGAATTAAACAATAGGACAAGTATATCAAGAATTAAACAATAGGACAAGTATATCAAGAACAAAACGATAGGATAAGTATATCAAGAACTTAACAATTGGACAAGTATATCAAGAACTAAACAATGGGACACGTATATCAAGAACTAAACAATTGGACAAGTATATCAAGACCTAAACAATAGGACAAGTATATCAAGAACTAAACAAGAGGACAAGTATATCACGAACTGCAATATCGTATAACTAACGACCGCACTCGTTCATACTTTAAGCGCCATCTAACGTGCAATTTTAGAACCGTTCTGTGTTTAAAACTTTCAGAAGCCCTCAATTGAAACCTTACACGTCTATCGTTACGTGCGATAGTGGGCAACTTTACACGAAAGCATGTTATGAAAAGCTTTACTTCATAGAGCCAGTCATAGAAGAAAACTATGGGCTAACTATTTTTCTCACCGATAATGTTGTATTTTTTCACCATCCGTACAAGTTCCTTTTTTTGAATAGGTGTACAACTGTCAAGTACATGGCAGAGCCGACCAATCGGAAAGAAGCAAGCTGCCCGATCAATAACATGGGACACCTCTCCAAAATAGGTCATAGGTCGGTCTCGTAGCGTAGGATTCAAATTTGAACAACCCCTCGAGGTGGGCGTGTCAGCACACACAACCCCCCCCCCCCCCCCCACACACACACCTAGGTTTAAGCTCTATTGTCAGTGACGTAAAAGAATTAAATTATCTCACATGAACTCCGTCACTACAAATACAAAACAACAACAATAATAACAACAAAAAAGAAAAACATTGGCATGTGGCTCATCAAGCAGTACACTTCTTGCGCTCAAATTTAAACCCCGGATTGAAGCTCAAAGTCAAGTCACGTCACGAAACTGGTAAACTGGTACGTTCAAAAAGTTTTGAGATTTATTACTCCTACAGGTGCAATGATATAGACAATAGTCACGGTCGACTACACTTTAACCATATACAGTTGAGTAGTCTTAGGACCCAACGCCAAGCCTAACAACCCAATGCCTCACAACCCAATGCCTCACAACCCAATGTCTCACAACCCAATGTCTCACAACCCAATGTCTCACAACCCAAAATCTCACAACCCAATGCCCCACAACCCAATGTCTCACAACCCAATGCCTCACAACCCAATGCCTCACAACCCAATGCCTCACAACCCAATGCCTCACAACCCAATGCCTCACAACCCAATGCCCCACAACCCAATGCCTCACAACCCAATGCCTCACAACCCAATGCCTCACAACCCAATGCTCACAACCCAATGTCTAACAAACCAATGCCACACAAGGTAAGTTGGACTTGACTAGTCCATTAATGTCCATTCACACAAATTACCGTGTCCACATTGTAAGCATGTAAGCACTTTTGACCTACTAGAAGTTTGAAATTCAAAGTAAATTTAAACCAACTTTGACCAACACACAGGGCCGCATTATCCATAAAGGCTGACTAGGCTGAAGCCTAGGGGCCCACTAAGAACAGGGGCCCATTCAAGCTTTAGTCATGCCATGGAAATGCTACATAATCGAAAATATACATTTTCGAGGGGCCCAAAGAAGATCGAAGCAGAGGGCCAAAGAAGCTCGTGTCATGGGGGCCCAAAGAATCTCGCAACTTGGGGGGACCAAAGAAGCTCGTGTCATGGGGGCCCAAAGAATCTCGCAACTTGGGGGGACCAAAGAAGCTCGTGTCATGGGGGCCCAAAGAATCTCGCAACTTGGGGGGACCAAAGAAGCTCACGTCATGGGGGCCCAAAGAATCTCGCAACTTGGGGGGACCAAAGAAGCTCGTAGCATGGGTCTGGGGGCAAAAAAAAAGCTCGAAACATGGGGGGCCCAAAGAAGCTCGCAACATGGAGGGCCCAAAGAAGCTCGCAACTTGGGGGAACCGAAGAAGCTCATAGTCTGTGCCTCAAGGCCCAAATAATCTCGCAACATGGGGCCCAAAGAAGCTCGTAGCCTGGGGGTCATGGGTATGGTGTTGTCAACACCTACTCGATTCTTAATGTCGACATATGTGATAGCATCGCTATGACGTAAGAAATGCAGTAAAATAAAAAGAAATCAAACATGCAGATAAGACGTTTCCATCATAAATTTGAAATATTAGAACTTGAAACTTGAATGCCCTGAGGGCAAACCATTTTTCACAATAAAAAACTCTATATTGTTAAAAAAAAGTCCTTTTTTAAAATTAAATATAAAAATTGCACATATTGCTATCAATATTAACTAAGTCACACTCCTTTCTATTTAAAAATGACGTTTATTGACGTTGGCAAAAATTGTCCAGCATGTAGAGTAAGAGCAGACCAAACGTATCAGACATCTAGAGATAAAATTGAAGAAAAACTAGGGGCAGCTAGTCATTTTATTTTAAGGTACTTTATAATATTAGTGTTTGACGTCCCCTTAATTTTTTATAATTTTTATAAAATGTATTTAAAAAAAGACAAAATCTTCCCCATTATTTCTTTTAATGTTCACTTGATTTTTATGTTGTATGAACTCGTACTTAGACGCGGCCATATTTTGTACAATCGTGTATTTTGTTTACATTGAGACATTCTCTGAACTTACTTCATTAAAACTTGTTAAAAGCTCCTAGTTCGGTCCTGGAGTTTGACTGGGGTCTGCCGAGTGTTTGCTATGAGATGGTGTTCCGACGGTTCGGCCGTGGAGAGTAGCGTCAGTGTAGGTTTGAGCAGCCTACGGCCCGCGGGCCACATTAGGCCTGCTTAAACGTTTATTCCGGCCCGCAAGACCTTCCGGGAACTGGTTTAATGTTTCATTAAATAGCTGAGGATTTGTAAAAACCTTTAAACATAATTTACCAGTCATTAAATCCTTTCTCTCTTTGTCGCGGCAAAATCTTCAGAAGGTAATTGACCCACTTCCCAAAAAACCTCTCATTAAAAAAAAAATTTAAAAAATTAAAAAATCAGTTTTTCGGGTTTTTCAAGGAGAAGATAGATCTAACTGATAAATTTTCCGTCATCCTATCAAGCTGAAACTTGTCTCATAGAGTCGTTGCCGATGACAATAACAATCGATCCAATTTTCAGCGCACCCCCCCACCCCCAAAAAACCACACAAAAAACCAACCAAATAAATAAATACGTTTTTCAAGGGGGTGGGGCGGGTGAATGTTAAGTATATTTTCATTGATTGGATGCTTTGGTGTAGAGATTAACTGTGCAGCTGTTTTTATGTGCTTTTACGTGTATTTTAACAAATGAAAAGATGGTTGTGTTGTCTGTACTCCTGGCGTGTGTCGATGTTACTGTATGTGTCTGTTTATGGTTGCACATGCCTTGCTGCTCTCATTCGTATGAAATAATCGAATAAACTACATAAACAATAGACTTCGATTAATTACAAGCTGAAACAAATATCATGACACATCTGAAAATAAGAGATTTCCCACTAAAAGTAACAATTCTAGGTAATATTGGTCTGTTGTCTAGTTTTATTATCAGAATTTACAATTAATAATAAATAATACATGTAAAAATACATATAAATAATACATGTAATAATAAAGATAAATAATAAATGAAACAATAAAGAACATTTGAACCTAAACTTATTGTTGCTCATTCTAAAACGTGAATTGATGATTTATACAAACAATACCATTGTAATGATTTGTTTACACACATTTTTATACACACATTTGAATACACACATTTGTATACACACATTTGTATACACACATTTGTATACACACATTTGAATACACACATTTGTATACACACATTTGTATACACACATTTGTATACACACATTTGTATACACACATGTGTATACGCTGTGGTAACCATGGAAATTGTCTTTATCGGATTGAAAATGTGTAAAAACAGAATTAAAAACTGTTAGAAGTTGATAAGCAGTCAGCAGTCCAACACTAGCTGCAACCCTTCACAAAAATAGATATCAATATAGATTATTTTAGCACTGGTCAATTGTCAATGATTAAAAAGACGCGGCCCTGAGAAAGCCGCCCCTAGGCGACCGTTTCGTCCTCGCCACGTCCAGCCCGAACCACTCCCAGAACGGTGGGTTGAGGTAACGCAACGCCTCCCCTGGAGAGGAAGTAAAAGCCGTTTTGACCCTTCACAGTCCTGTCCGAAACGCTCCCGGAGAAACGCGGGCTTGAGGCAACGCAACGCCTCACCGGGGGGAACAATTCGTTGGGAACCAAACTTGCTCGTACAACTCTTGGGAACGGTGGGAGAAAGTTAAGCTCGTGACTACTCCCGGAGTGGAAGCAAAGCCGTCCCATACCAAGGAAAACGTACAGCTCCCGGGCGGTGGAGGTGGCAACGCAACGTCATGTCCGGAGAGGAAGCAAAGCTGTTCCAACCCCACATCACTCTGGGCAGAGTTGCATGGCCGGAGTCCCCAGGGACTACTAGGCTATGTTTCACGGCCAAAGGTCCTAAGAGATAGAATCTCGACCTTCGAGTATTGGACTTTATTAGCACTGGTCGATAATATATATATTATATATAAATCAGATCATTTGAGCACTGGGGAATATAAAGGGTGTAAGAATGCCCAACTACGGAATCTCACCCCACAAAAAATAAAAAAATAAAATAAAAAATAACTTGAGGGTTTGAAACTTCATTTGAATAAATACACATCACATGATCTTTACATTTGCATATTTTTACATTTATATAATGTAGTGATACATTTATAGGTCAGACACAAGGAAACTATTTTATTTGGGTTATCAAAAAGGCTACTCAGTGAATAATAACAACTTAAAGAAAATAGACATTGGTTATTATGAAATTAAGTATTTATATTTTATATATATAGTGAGATAGAGAGAGATAGAGAGAGAGACAGGGAGAGAGAGAGAGAGTGAAGGACAGAGACCACACCCGTGAGGCGTGCCACATTTTTACTTTGCCAACTAATCCCCATTACTATCCTAAAAATGTCTTATCAGGTTGCGCCCATATTTTTGGTGAAGCAGAAAATGTTAATTATTGTAACACAATTCAAACATTTCCTACAATTTCAACAAAAAATAGAAATCAAACATAAATAAATCAAAACAGACTCTATTTCCGCAGCTATGTTGAACAGCTTAAGTAAGACTTGGTCTTCCTCCTTCATTTTATAAATAAATTAATCAAAATTTGATTTGTATAACAATATACGTTCTGCACATGGTGAATAGTTATGGGTCGCTACATTACCAATAGAATATCTTTAGGGTTAAGCTTTGATGTATAATTATAGAAGACTGTGTCTTTAGGGACTTTAATGAACCTACATGTACCACGAGATGGAGAAACAAGACAGACATAATGGTTCCTTGTGTTTGAACAGGGACACATCAACATATTGTGACACCTAAGTTGGTGCTTGATTTATGCAATGAGACATTAACATTTTGTGACACCTAAGTTGCTGCTTGAGTTTATGCAAGGAGCCATCACCATTTCATGACACCTAAGTTGTTGCTTGTGCTTATACAAGGAGCCATCACCATTTCGTGACACCTAAGTTGTTGCTTGTGTTTATGCAAGGAGCCATCACCATTTCGTGACACTTAAGTTGCTGGTTGGACGATCGACGGTGTCCTCCGGTTGCTGCCATCATTCCCAAAGTTGTTGTCAACTCCGTTCGTTTGTTTGGCCACCATGTTGACCGGGATCGCCGGTCCAGTGTCGTCCGCCAGCCTGGCCGTCAAACTGGCCATCCCGGGCGGCAGCACATTCTGGGGCCACATCTCGTGCAGCTTCGACAGCTTCCCAGCCTCGATCATGTTGTCGACGTCTGCTTCCCTTATAGCCGCGTCCATCGCTTTGGTCGGGCGATACTCCCACAATCTGAGCACGGGCCGGTCCTCGCCGAGATGGCAGACGAGCAGACAACACGACATGGCGTCCGGGTGGGCGAGCCCGTTTTGAATGACCATGGCCTTGACCAGGCACAGTTCGTTCACGTCCATTGGCCTAGGGGTGGGCATGCCCGTGACTTTGATGTTGACCGCGTGCAGCATCCCGGCCTTACGACAAATGAGGTCAACCTGACCCGACAAGACCCGCACCAGATTGGCGACCTTGACGTGGGCCGTGAGTCGGACGTTGACGGCCTCAAACGAATCGAACCACGTCCCGATCTTCTGCTCGAACAGCCGACAGAGGTGTCCGCAAAACGTGGACTCCAGGTCTGGATAATGTCTGGGGTTGGTGTGTTTGAAAATATCCACGGCTCCCTTGGATTTCAGGAGCATGATCATCGCGTGAAAGAATTGCTTCCCTTGCTCCTCTCTGCCGATCTGTGTCAAAAAGTGGTGGTATTTTTCCCGCGTTTTTTCATGTCTCGTGAGATCCAGACGACAGGCCTCTTTTCTTATCAGGAATGATTCCCAGAGCTCCTTGCGCTCTGTGGGGGGAGAAATAAATAAAGAAGAAACAAGTAAATAAATTGAATCTATTTCGTATGTTTCTCGCTGCGTATTTTACAAAACGCTAACACGACAGAGCTACGCCACAACAGCTACGCCACAACTGCTACGCCACAACTGCTACAACACAACAGCTACGCCACAACTGCTACGCCACAACTGCTACGCCACAACAGCTACGCCACAACTGCTACGCCACAACTGCTACGTCACAACTGCTACGCCACAACTGCTACGCCACAACTGGTCATGTTGTATGTGTCATGGATCACGTGTGGTAAAGTAGAAGAAATAAGTGTGTGTGGGCAGTGGCGTAGCGAGGGTGTTTGGCGCCCGGGGACAAGATTCGCGCCCGGGGACAAAATCCATTTTTAGCGCCCCTTTTTCTTTTTTTCAACTCTCAAACCCATTATTTTCATCAATAAAATAATATCAAAGCACATTTTGGCGCCCCTAACTAGCTGGCGCCCGGGGACATCTGTCCCCCCCCCTGCCCCCACCACGCTACGCCTCTGTGTGTGGGGGAGGGGGACTTCTCTATCCTCACTGGTAATAAGTGGGAGAGACTGCAATCAGGTTAGAAAAATGAAAATCAGCGAAACAAAGTAAGCATGGGAGAACCTGGAGGAAAAAAAAACGCAACAAAACAAGGAACGTGTCGGAAAGAAGCCTTCCTCTGCGAACAAACAACAAAACAGAATTAAATTTAAAAAAATAACATTTAGGTAAATGGTAGTAAAACCCAGGAAATTTAAGCTAAGTGTTATTATTATTATTATTTGTAAAAAAAATAATTAATTATATATTTTGGTTTAGGTTTTCCCAAACTTTATTTTGCTCATGTCCATCTATCCTCGCTTGGTCTTCGAGTTTCCTGGCCATGTGCATGGAGGCAGTGACCTTCACCGTTGTGGAGGCACTGGCCAGAAATCTGAATGGAAGCTGCCAGTGCCCAATAGGATAACTTATTTAAATGACTTGCCTAACAAGTACGTTTGTTTTGTTAAATATAACAACTATTTTATCATGAACACCTTGTTTGTAATGTTACCAAACTATTGTTGGTGTTGGTTTTACCACCATGTGATATGAATAGCAGAAAAAGGTTTCAGAGGGGTAGAGAGAGAGAGAGAGAGAGAGATGTAAGAATTCGAAAAAGGCTTAATTTCTGTTAGAATTCGTTGAAAAACTCTTATATTAATAACTTGCATCATTCTTTTTGGCAGAAAACTTGTATTTTATGATGATATGAAATGTAGCATAAAAATACAATATAAGAGTAATTACCGTTCTTACAAAAATAACTGCGCTGGGAAGGTATGAGATGCAACTGAGTTAAGTCAAAGACAAGATTAAAGAACTCATGTCAAGGGGAACAAATCTAGTTCCTTAAATCCAAAGATATCGTCTTTTCGGAGAGAACGCTAAACACTGAGAATGGGGAATTCGGAAATTGAACCAAAATCTGAGAATGAGCAAGCCAACTAATATGTCAATGAACTGCAGACACTGTTCTCATAATTTTGAATCGGTTGTTTGCTGCACAGTAGAAAAATATAACATGTTACACAGAATTCTAATTTAATTTTCAGATCCATAGCAGAGACGATTATCAATAGAAAGTTGACGTAAGAAATACAAACAGTGAAAATGTTTTACGTACACCTAATGCATCATGCAAGACTAACCAACCAGACAGCTGTAATGTTAGGAGAACGAAACAACATAATAGTTAAACTCTATGTATAATCATGGGCGCCGGCAGGACTATCCAAATTGATAAAGTTACCAAAAATGTCAATTCCCTACAATGTAAACCATGAGTTCAGCCCCTGCACGTTTCTATTTCTGGGGGTGCTAAGGCTGGAGCTGTAAGATTGGAGATGGTTTGATTGGAGGTGCTATGATTGGAGATCATATGATTGATAATGGTATGAATGGAGGTGGTTTGATTGGAAATGGCATGATTGGAGGTGGTATTATTGGAGATGGTATTATTGTAGAGGGTATGATTGGAGATGGTATGATTGGAGATGGTATGATTGGAGAGGGTATGATTGGAGATGGTATGATTGGAGAGGGTATGATTGGAGAGGGTATGATTGGAGATGGTATGATTGGAGAGGGTATGATTGGAGAGGGTATGATTGGAGATGGTATGATTGGAGATGGTATGATTGGAGATGGTATGATTGGAGATGGTATGATTGGAGATGGTATGATTGGAGAGGGTATGATTGGAGAGGGTATGATTGGAGATGGTATGATTGGAGATGGTATGATTGGAGAGGGTATGATTGGAGATGGTATGATTGGAGATGGTATGATTGGAGAGGGTATGATTGGAGATGGTATGATTGGAGATGGTATGATTGGAGAGGGTATGATTGGAGATGGTATGATTGGAGATGGTATGATTGGAGAGGGTATGATTGGAGATGGTATGATTGGAGATGGTATGATTGGAGATGGTATGATTGGAGAGGGTATGATTGGAGATGGTATGATTAGGCTGCTGGGGTTGAAGGTGCTATAAAACGACATGGTTAGGGTTGAAATAATTTCCTAGTGGTCCAGGAATATAAATTCCTCGGTCTCGCAGGAGGCGCAGATTTTAAAGGGGAAAAAACGAAGCCTTTTGTTGATGTCTTTCATTTTTGTTTGAGAGAAACAAACTACTTGACAACATGCTCTGATGACGCAAGACCAGAGGACGCGAAGCCTTTTAACAACAGCCTTGCTGCAATCGAATGGCGGGAAATAAATTGGTATTGTCCATGTTTGTGTTCTTGAAACCAGTTTAAAAGTAGTACTTACTTACAAGAGGACCCCCAACCCAGTAGGACTTATTTACAAGAGGACCCCCGTCCCAGTAGGACTTATTTACAAGAGGATCCCTTACCCCCAGTAGGACTTACAAGAGGACCCCCACCCCAGTAGGACTTATTTAAAAGAGGACCCACATCCCAGTAGGACTTACTTACAAGAAGCCCCACCTCAGTAGGACTTACTTACAAAAAGAACCCCACTCCAGTAGAACTTACTTACAAGAGGACCCCCATTCCAGTAGGACTTACTTTCAAGAGGACCCCCACCCCAGTAGGACTTATTTACAAGAGGATCCCTTACCCCAGTAGGACTTACTTACAAGAAGACTTCCATCCCAGTAGGACTTACTACAAGAAGACCCCCACCCCAGTAGGACTTACTTACATGAGGACACCCCCCCCCCCCCCACCCAATATAATTTAAAAATAAATCAATACAACTAAATATTAATATTGTTTAAAATCACCATCCACTAATGCAGGACGCCCACGATTGTACATGCTAAGCAGAGGCGTAGCTAGGGAAGAAGGGCAGATGTCACCGGGCGAAAGACTAGTAGGGTCGCCAAAATTGGCTGTGGTGGTATTTTATTGGGTTTCAGAGTTGAGAGGGGCATTATAAAGGAATATGGTCTCCGAGATTCAAGCACTCAGGCCACGCCTCTTATGTTACGACCCTGACAGTTAATAGTACATTCTACGCCCATGATAGTACATGCTACGCCCATGATTGTACATGCTACGCCCATGATTGTACATGCTAGGCCCATGATTGTACACGCTACGCCCATGACTGTACATGCTACACCCATGATTGTACATTCTACGCCCATGATAGTACATGCTACGCCCATGATTGTACATGCTACGCCCATGATTGTACATGCTACACCCATGATTGTACATTCTACGCCCATGATAGTACACGCTACGCCCATGATTGTACACGCTATACGTTGAATACACACCAACTGAAGGGTCGTACACGCTGGTGAGGTTGTCCTGACCCAGGGCCAGTGTCGTCATGTACACCTTCATGCTGTCAGTGTCGTAGTCGTCTGCCAGCTTGTCCAGCTGGTGGTGCAGTTGCTGGTCGTGGTGCCACACTGACACGAGGCGGGAATTGATGGGTGGTTCGGGAAGGTTGGCAGAGGCGGCACCGACAGAAAGAGAAGCAAAGCTAAACAATATCTCGGACATTTTTGTGTTAGGTCTTAAGGGGGTTAATCTAAGTTGTGGGTCAGAGGTCACAGGGTGAAGGTGGTCAACAGTGGGTACATGCTAGTTACGCTTTAGGTCAAAGGTCAATAAACAGGACTTTGAGTTTCTCAAAATGTAAGATAGTAGCCCCAAGAAGGTAAGGGAGTTTATGAAGACAAAGGGGGAAGAAGTGAGGAGAGGAAGTGAAGATAGGAAGTGGGGACAGGGAGTGAGGACAGGGAGTGGGGACAGGAAGTGAGGACAGGGAGTGGGGACAGGAAGTGAGGACAGGAAGTGGGGACAGGGAGTGAGGAGAGGGAGGGGGGACAGGAAGAGAGGAGAGGAAGAGAGGAGAGGAAGTGAGGACAGGAAGTGGGGAGAGGTGAAGATAGGAAGTGGGGACAGGGAGTGAGGACAGGGAGTGGGGACAGGAAGTGAAGACAGGGAGTGGGGACAGGAAGTGGAGACAGGAAGTGGGGACAGGGAGTGAGGACAGGGAGTGGGGACATGAAGTGGAGACAGGTAATGGGGACAGGGAGTGAGGACAGGGAGTGGAGACAGGGAGTGAGGACAGGAAGTGAAGACATGGAGTGGGGACAGGAAGTGAAGACAGGGAGTGGGGACAGGAAGTGAGGACAGGGAGTGAGGAAAGGGAGTGAGGAAAGGGAGTGAGGAAAGGAAGTGAGGACAGGGAGTGGGGACAGGGAGTGAGGACAGGAAGTGAGGACAGGAAGTGAGGACAGGAAGTGAGGACAGGAAGTGAGGACAGGGAGTGAGGTCAGGGAGTGGGGACAGGGAGGGGGGACAAGGAGGGGGGACAAGGGAGCGCACGGTGATTGGTTGGAAGGAAAGTTGTAACCGATAAACAAATCAAATAAACATGAAATCTTAGCTTCCTCTTGCTGTTACCTGGGATGAAACATATATATATATATATATATTTTTTATTTTTATTTTTTATTTTTTTTTTTGGGGGGGGGGG